TTTTCTTCATGATAGTTCAAAGAACTTGAAGATATGTTGTCTACCACTCAAAACAAAGTACACGGAATAGACCAATAGTAACTAGAAGATGATGTGACCTGCAAAGGGACTTTCAGAAGAGAGAAAGAAGCTGGGTGCCAGTGGCTCACACCTGTAATCCTAGCTGCTCAGGAGGCTGAGATCTGAGGATTGTGATTCAAAGCCAGCCCAGGCAGGAAAGTCTGTAAGACTCTTATCTCCAATTAGTCACAAGAAAACTGGAAGTAGTACTGTGGCTCAAGTGGCAGAGTGCTAGCCTTGAGCTGAAGAGCTCAGGGACACTACCCACACCTAGATTTCAAGCCCCATGAATAGCAAGAAAAAGGAGAGAGAGAAAAAAAATTTTACTTGAAGATAGGGTAATGGTTAAAATATTGAATAAAATTTAATGAAAAGTATCCCAGCTCAATAAATTCTATATTTAACCTGAAAATAATACCACAAAAAGCACACTATAAAGAAATTGCTGCAAAACAGTGATGAACAATGCTACAGTAAAAAGTAAAGAAATCCATCAAGATGCATTGTGTTTTATAAACTCATGTGCGAAATTGTATCTCCTTTGTATAACAACTAAAAGAAAATAAAACACAATTTTAAAAAAGAAACCTTCAAAGTATTCAAAAGAAAAAAACTATTAGAATTCTTTGTCCAAAGAAAGTACCTTTCCAATAGAAAGAAAAAATAAAAATACAGTAAGAAAAATAATTTTGAAATTTAACAAGAGAATTGCATTATGATATACATTGAAGGAGGTTCCTACAAAACAAAGATGATATCAGATGCAAATCTACATCTACACGAATGTCTGAAGAATGGGGATATAGTAAATAATAATTATAAAATAGGCTTTTAGTCACTTCTGGACATATTTATGAGATAGGTGTTTAGTGTAAAATGTATGATAACAGCCCAAAGAACAAGGGAGAGGGAAAGAAAGCTATACTTCTATAAATATACTTCTGTAAGATTATTACATTATTGCAAAATAGTATAATATTATTTAAGATATTCCTTGTTAAATAAGATGTGCAGTACAGATCTAATAGTAAACAAATTTCAGTGTTAAGAGTTACATAAATCACATAAAATGAAAAAAATATGATTAATTTAAAGGAAAACAATGAAAGAAGAACCATGGGACAAGCTAGAAAACAAGTGGTAGACTGAAACTCCAATACAAAGGGTCAAATAAACCTAGCTGAAATCAGATTGTCATACTGAATTGAAAAGAAATGCTGGACAATTATGTGCTGTGTAAAATAGTTGTTGTTTTTGAGACAGCCTTACCATGTAGTCCAAGATGGCCTCAAACTTGTAATACTCTTGAATCTCTCAAGATCTTAAATTATACCCATAATTATGCTTTTAAAATTTTTGTTAGGATAGAAAATAATATTCTTATGTAAAAACAAAACATAAGAAATTTAGGCAGGACTATATTGAAATGACAGAAAGTAAGTTACTTTTTAAAAACAAAGACTATTTAAGGATTTAGGGATAAAGAGGACTATTACATAATAATAGTGTTGTCAAGGTATCATGAAGATTGAAAGTCCTATGTGTACCTGTATATATTTATAGGACCTCAAAATAAATGAACCTAATAGAAATTAATCTAAGCAATTGAAATCTATGAACATAAACAAAGATTTCACGTATTCTCAACAATATGCAGAGGGAACCAATAACAATATAGAAAGCCTGAACAGGGTTATTAGTTGACTGACACGTGACCACATAGTGACAACAAAAGATGTATTTTTCCCAAATGCAAATGAAGCATTTATTAAACTGCTTTAAAAAAAAAGTCCCAAGAATTATAGGAAGGAATAGGAGAAACTCTAGGGCTCCTTGGTACCGGCTGAAATTTTCTAAATAAAGACCCAGAAACACAACAAATCAAAGAAAGGTTGGGCAAATGGGATTGCATGAAACTGCAGAGCTTCTGCATGGCAAAGGACATCGCTAGCAAGAGCAACAGAAAGCCCACAAATGGGGAGAAGATCTTCACTAGCCATACAACAGACAAGGGTCTCATAGCTAAATTATACTTAAAAAAAATTAAATCCCCTAATAACAAATCCTCAAAGAAACAATGGTCCGATTAATAAGTGGGCTAAAGACTTAAAGAGAGACTTCTTTGAAATGAAGTAAGAATGGCCAATAGACAGATGAAGAAATATTCAATTTCTCTAGCCGTAAAAGAAATGCAAATCAAAACAACATTGAGATTCCACCTCACCCCATTTAGAAATCAAGAAATCTAATAACAACAGATCCTGGAGGGGATGTGGACAGAAGGGAACCCTACTGCATTGTTGGTAGGAGTGTAAACTTGTTCAACCACTTTGGAAAGCAGTATGGAGGTTCCTCAAAAGACTCCACATAGAGCTCCCCTATGATCCAGTAATCCCACTTTTGGGCATTTACCCAAATGATCACAAACAAGCCCATACTAAAGCTACCAGCACAACTATGTTTATTACAGCATTATTTACCATAGTTAAGATGTGGAACCAGCCAAGATGCCCCTCAGTAGATGAATAGACCAAGAAATTGTGATCAATATCTACATCTATATATAGCTATATATACAATATATATGCAATATATATATATATACACACACACACACACACACAATGGAATTCTATGCCTCCATCAGAAAGAATGACAATTTGTTAGGAAATGGAAAGACTTGGAAAAATTTATATTAAGTGAAGTAAGCCAGGCCCAAAGAAACATAGGTCCCATGGTTTCCCTTATTTCCAAAAACTAGTATATGTCTAGGACAAACAGAAAAGGTCAAAAGCTATGAACATATGACCATATAAGATGATGCTAAAGGCTGGGTGCCGGTGACTCATGCCTATAATCCTAGCTACTCAGGAGACTGAGATCTGAGGGTCGCGGTTCAAAGCCCAGGCAGGAAAGTCCCTGAGACTCTTACCTCCAATAAACTACTAGAAAACTGGAAGTGGTGCTGTGGCTTAAGTGGTAGAGTGCTTGCCTTGAGCTGAAAAGCTGAGGGACAGCGCCCCAGCCCAGAGTTCAAGCCCCACGAGCCCCCACCCCAAAAAGATGATGCTAAGTGAAATGAACCCCAAGACAGGGACACAAGAGGTTTTTATCTTTGTTGCTGTTCTTTTTAATGTATTTATAATATACTATGTGATATTTTTTTTTTTGTTTCTCTTGCATGTTCTTCCCCCATGGTATCAGTCCTGTTTTCACTGTATTTGATTCCGGTACCTTGCATCTTGTATATACATTTTTCTAATTTAGGGAGGGGAAGGGAAATAACAAAATGCTGAAATAAGGATACAGGTTGACCTATTGTAACAATGAAACTTACAAGATACTATGCTGAAAAGGAACTTACAACTTCAGGGAGGGAGGAGTTGGGGAGGGAAGGGATTATAGGGGAAACACAAAGGAGGGGGTAAGAATGGTCCATAGGAAATGTACTCATTACCTTACTTATGCAACTGTAACCCCTCTGTATAGTATCTTTACAAGAAAAAATATACATTAAATTTAAAAAGTCCCAAGAAATTTATGGGTCATGTAAATAAGTAAGGGGAACACAGAAATGACTGAACAAAGGTTAATCAAATACAGCAGTGGTACTCACTAGACAGTATGTTAAAAATGAACTATACAAAACACGAGGGAAAAACGGGGAGAGAGCAAAGGAAGGAGTGACATTGTCCAAAAAGAAGTATATTCTTTATCTGACTTATGTCACTGTAACCCCTCCATTTATCACCTTTATATAACAACAAAAATAAATAAAAAATTTATGGGCCATAAAAACAAGTCTAGGTCATTAAGCAAATTTATCATAATTAAAATTATATAAAATATGTTCTCTAACCACAAAAAAGTAAGTCAGAAATATAGAATAAGACTATCTATAAAAAAGTTCTAAGTGTTTGGGAAGTAAACATCCTAAATAGCAAAAAAGATCAAAGAAGAAAATGTAAGACTAATTTCAAAATACTAAATAAAAATTAAAAATGACATATCAAAACTGTGTGGAATATATGGTAATATTAAAGAATAAGTTTGTCAATAGTAGGGTTTGAAGTCACGACTTCAAGCATTCCAAGGAGGTGCTTTAGTGTTTTAGCTATGCCCCCAACTCTTTTAGTTATTTGTCAAATAGTATCTAGTGTTTATGACTGGGGTTTAAGACTGCAATCTTCCTAACTATGCTTTTCATGTAGCTAACATTACAGATGTGCCCTACCACACCTGGTATACACATTGAGAAGCATTCTCATTTATATTGTTTGTGCCATAGTAGATTTTTATTTATGTAATAGAAGGAAGAGGTAAAGATACTCAGTTTTTAGTGTTTTGAATGTAGCTATTTTTGAATATAATAAATATAAGAATAAAAAATCAATACTCTAAATATAACAGAGAAAAAACAAAGGAGCCCAGTTCCAAAATGATGTCACAGTACAACTAACAGCAACTGATTACCTTTTGAGGAAATCAAAGCTTACATTTTAAGCCATTTTGTATAAAGTTATGTTCTCCATAACAAAAATATTTTTGAAGACTAATAAATGCGGACACTATTTTGTACTTTAGAGTAAGAATTTGCAGATAAGATATAGCTAGTTTTAAAATACAAGAAAGTAGTTGGGGACTGCATTCTTTGATTTCCCTAAACCAAACAAGTATTTAATGGTGTCTATTATATGAATATCTGCCTTATATCCCTCTAGAAATTGTCACCTTTCCTATGGTCAGGGATCTTCTTAGTTCTAAATATGGTCTAGGCCATTTGGGGCACACAAATTAGCTCACTAATAGGCCCTATAAATTATCTCTCATCCAGAAATTTCTTGCCATCATTAGAAGCAAGGACACCATAGACCTAAATGTCTTTTTCACACTGGAGAGAATCCAAGTAAGAAAAGTAGAGAGATAGTTCAGTGTCTTACGTTCACATTCACTGACATCCAGGTTGAACTGCTGTAATGCTCCCAAGGTGAGTTGCCTTACTTCAGCTTCCAGCAAAAGTTGCATCAAGGATGTGGCTAAATGTTTGCAAGCTGACATACATGCAGTCTGTGCCACTTTTCCCTAAAATACAAGAATGCAAGCCATCAGGTCACTGGATTAAAATAAAATGCAAACAAATTTCAAAGCATTTTTTGTGCCAGTACTAGAACATAATACTGGTACCACTGGGATATATCATTATGTATCCAAACAACACTGGAATGAAAACACCTAAGATTAATCTTATTAACTACCTATTCCATCACCTTTGGTGACAGGAGAAATGTAGTCAAGACACACTTTTATTTTATTTATTTATTTATTTATTTATTTTTGGGGGGTCTGGTCATGGGGCCTGAACTCTGGGCCTGAGCGCTGTCCCACAGCTCTTCAGCTCAAGGCTAGTGCTCTACCAGTTGAGCCACAGCGCCACTTCTGGCTTTTTTCATTTTGCTTATGTGGTGCTGAGGAATCGAACCCAGGGGCTCAGGCATGCAAGGCAAGCGCTCTACCACTGAGCCAACTTCCCAGCCCTCAAGACACACTTTTAAAACATTTGACAACAGACAAATGATAATTTAAAATCTTAAGTAAAATGCAAAAAAAAAAATATTCCAGAGAATAAACTTCAAAAAGTCTCTTCCAGGAAGAATTCTTAAAATATAAACGTAAATAACAGTATCTTATCTACAAATCAGTATTTACTATTTTATGCTTTATCACATGTAAAAATAATTAAAAGCAAAATAATACAAAGTAATTAAAAGAATTAACTGTATTAGAAAATATTCAAGCCAGGGGCCAGTGGCATGTCTGTAATCATAGCTACTCAGGAGGCTGAGATCTGAAGACTGAGGTTCAAAGCCAGCCCAGACAGGAAATTCCATGAGACTCTTGGCGCTATGGCTCAAGTGGTAGAGTACTCGCTTTGAGCTGAAGAGCTCAGGGACAGAGCCCAGGCCCAGAGTTCAAGTCCCATGATCAGCAAAAAAAAAAAAAAAAAAAAAGATGAGGAAAGAAGAAAATATTCAAAACTATTACTGCAAAATCTTTTATTTGTTTGTTTATTGTGTCAGTACTAGGTGCTGTACCTTAGTTTTATTACTCAAAGCTGGCACATTACTTAAACCACCCTTTTACTTCCAACTCTTTGCGGTTTATTGGAGATAAGAGTCTCATACATTTCTCTGCCCAGGCTGGCTCCAAGCCATGATCCTGAGATCTCAACCTCTTAAGTAACAAGTATTATAGGTGTAAACCACTGGTTCCCAGCTAAATTCTTCATTTTTAAAATATGAACTTTAATATTAAATGTCTTCATTGAAGAATTCAAAGTACTTTACAGTTAGTTTATGTATTAAATCTTAGTCCAGAGACCTATGTTACACATTATAGAAAAAAGGCACTTTTTCCATATATATCCATATATATGGAAATATACATATAGAAATGATATACATGGAAATACATATATATTTAATTTGTCAATTACTCTGAAAAAAAAGTACATATCTGTTTTAAAGTCTTGCTTCCCAAATTAGTCAGTGAATTCCGTTTGGAACTTATGAAATGTTTCAACAAACAGAAACATATACACATAACCAAGATGTATTCCCTTAACTTTATATGCAGTTAAGCTCCTTGATGACTTCATTAGTCATTTTTCTACCTCTCCTCAGAAGTGATCATTTTGCCATTACATAATCTTTTTGTATAATAAGAGTACTGCTGAGGGTGATAGAGTGTTTGCCTAGTATGTGAAAGGCCCAAGATTCAATTCATTAACACCAGAAAAACAAGTACTCTCAGAGCAATATACTGTATTATTTCATATGCTTTTAAATTTTCTATATTACCTCCTTCTACAACTTGCTTTTATATATATATATATATATATATATATATAATTGTAAAAATACTGTAGAGTGGTTATAGTTACATGAGTAGGGTAATGAGTACATTTCTTACAACTTGCATGCTGCCTCTACATGCATTTGCAATATTTATATACTACAAGACACATAATATACATCAACTATGTAAACTGGAAATCAACTACCAAGCAACTGAATGATTCATACTATTTCTCAGTCTAGATACATTTTTATAACTTTTGGGAGTAACTGGTGAAAGCTTATTACATTCATTCAAAGTCAGGCATTATTTTCATAGGGAGAGAAGTGAAAATTCTTGTTTTACTTTTCACCATGTAGGTCATTTCCATCAAAAATATATACATATTCATGTTCCCTAATTATGTTTTCCTTTACTTCCTAGGCATTCCTCATTTAGTATGCTACTTATATCACATAACACATTGCACTAGAAGATACACTACACTGTCATTCATGCATGTGTATTACCTGAATTTACTTACTTAGACATTAATGAAAATGGAAATATACCAAAATTTGGAGGGCTCAAAAAAAAAAGCTTTTCTAAGAGGCAAACTTATAGCAAAGGAAATTACAAAGCAACAACTTAACAAAATATATTAAGGAATGAGAACACAGTAAGTTCAAAATGAATAGAAGGAAGGAAACAAAGAGGAGAGCACAAATAGAGAATAGAGAAAGATTTTCAATAATTATAACTGAGATTTGTATTTTTTGAAAAGACAAAATTAATGAACCTTTACCTAGACTAAAATAGACAAACAAATAAATAAAATCAGAAATTAAAATGGAAACATTATAACTAATGGAACAGAAATACATAAGCTCATAATAGACTGCTATGAACAATTAATCACCATCATATTTGATAACCTAAAAGAAATGGATAAATTCCTACACATACCATCCACCAAGATTAAATTATAAATAAAGAGAAAATATGGATTGACTAACAATGCGTCAACAGATTGAATCAATAATTTAAAAACCTTCTGCTAAAGAAAAGCCAAGGACCTAATTAATGGCTTTACTAGTGATTCCTATCCTATCCTATTCAAAGAGTGAATACCAATCCTGAAACTTTTCCAAAAAACTGAAGAGAGATTAATACTGCCAAACTCATTTTCTGAACTCAGAATTACTATGGAATCAAAGTCAAACAAGGAAGGACACTTACAATGTAAAAAATTATAAAGCAGGACATATCTCTAATAAATATAAATGCAAAAGTATTCAGCAAAATACCAGCAAGTAAAATTCATGTCTCTCATCTGAACTGTGATATTTTGTAAATGATCATAAAAGCATAGGTAACAAAAGCAAAGTCAGACAAATAAAATTTATTTCAAATGAAGGGGCTCCTCTACAGAGAAGAAAACATCAACAAAATGAGTAGAATAATGTACTTTCTTTTAAATCCTACATCTGATAAACCAATTAAAAAGTGAGCAAAGGACCTAAACAGATATTTCAAAAAAGACAGGTTATTTGGAAAAAAATGCTCAAAACCACTAATCATCAGGGAAATGCAAATTAAAACCACAATTAGATACCACCACATACTTATAATGACTATTAGAATAGCTACCGTCAAAAAGATGAAAGATACCAAATACTGGCAAGAATGTGGAATACCTGTACACTGTGGGTGCAAAATGAAAATTAGTATAGCTACTATGGAAAATACACTGAAGTATATAGAAATTGAAAACAAATCTACCATATATTCAGTAATCTCAGTGCTGACTATATCCAGAGAAAATATAATCAGTATGTCATTGAAGTATCTGCACTCTCATTTTTATCCAAGTTTTATTCAGAATAGCCAAAGTGTCAAATCAACTTACATGGTCATCAATGGATAAATGTATAAAGAAAATGTGACATGTATGTACAACAGAATATAATTCAGCCTTATACTATATACTTGAAGTAAGCTGAAACTTTAAGTGTTCTCACCAATAAAATGCTTAAGATGTAAGGTAATGGAAGAAATAGATCGATTTAGCCATGTATACATGTTAAGATCATTTTGCACACAACAAATATATACAATGTTTACATGTCAACTAAAAAAAAGAGGAATGAACAAACTAGTACTACAAGGAATAGTATGGAGAGTTCTTTTTAGTCGGGGTTGGTACTGAGGCTTGAACTCAGATACTGGGTTCTATCTCTTAGTATTTTTACTGAAGGCTGGAGCTCTTCCACTTGAGCCATACCTCCACTTAACTAATTAACTGAAAATCTCATAATTGATTAATTAATTGAAAGAATCTCAGGAACTTTTCCACCCAGATTGGTATTGAACTGAAAACATCATATCTCAACCTCCTGAGAAGCTAGGATTACAGGGATGAGTCACTGGTACCAGGAAATGATTCTTACAACTATTTTGAGTCAAGAAGCCAGATACAAAATCAAATGTGTTGCATAACTCCATTTGTACCACACTTTACAAAGGCAAAGAACTATGTTCAAGACACATTATGCTCCTGCTTAAAATCTCTTCCATTCCATGAGAAAGAAAGGCTACTCAAAGAGGCCATAGGACTTCTGTTTAATACTCTCTGAATTCTGCTTACTTGAATGGTGCATTTTTGAAACTACAACCAGCTTTACATTTTGGGTTTGCTTACTTTTCGTGCAAATGTGATATTTCATTAAAAAGTTTCCATAGGCCAGTAGTATGGTATAAGTGACAGTACACTTGCCTCCTAAGCACAAGGAGGCTTTGAGTTCAAACACCAGTATTGAAAAACAGCCTACGGTTTGTGAGCAAAGAAATTGGCTTTTTTTTCTCTTTTAGTAGCCTAAATGAATGATATAGTTCAAGCCTGAGCAAAAGAAACCAAAAGCTGTTATCTTTGTATTTTAGGGATACGATTTTCTTCTGAATAAAGATAGCATCCAGTGTTTCTCAGCCAAAGACATAAGTAAACTAGATTAAAGTGAATGTGTAGAGATCTTCAATAATTCTTTTAAAGGCATATAAAAGACTAAGCTCATTATTTTTATTACTCCATACTTCTATTACACAGTATTAAGTACTCTGTCACAGTACTAAGCGCAGGTGAGTAGCAGCATCACCATTCAGCAATGACACTGCCTTCATCAGCACCACTACCACCCAACCCAGAGAAGCTACTTCTATTTACTAACCTTGGCCATGGATCACATGTTTAG